GTGCGTTAGCTAGCTATGCTACATTAATGATCTCTGATCAAGTAGCGCTGCAGTGGAGAAGCAGGTTTTGTGTCCTGTCAGAAAAGCTGTTCTGTACAGCTGTAAGTAAAGTAGGTTTCATAGTTTTGATCCCCATCTGTCTCTTTCAGCAGCAGCACAGCCACAGCAGGAATTTGTTGGAGTCTTTTGATTGGCTGGTTGAGCTGTAGCTGAATGTTTTCTAAAGTCAGACAGACACTGTGTGATTTTAGAAATCTTGTTCTTTGGTGACTCACACTGTACATTTGCATAGACCATCGTGTTCGGACAAAGCTACGATTTATATACTTACACTGTATGAAGATGCTCCATCTGACTGACCTGCAGCCTCTACAGACGCTCTGTCTATAGACCATTATCAATAAAGCTGATTAATTCAGAAAAACATGGGTACTGAGCAAACACGCTGAGACACTGAGCAGCGCTGCTAACACTGAGCAAAAAGTACCATATTGCAGGACTGGTAATTTCAGGTGATAAATAGCTGAAAAAACACATTAATATGCTTGTTTTCGGTTTGCTTTGGCAGTTTAACCTTTATTGAAATTAAAATTTGTCAAGACAACTCTGATACCTTACAGCTGTGTTCTTGCGTCAGCTGCTCATATTTCAAACTCATATTTATCGCCCCAGTCATTTGTCATTATAAATTAGGTGGGAGCATCAGCTGATTTGCATATTGTGACACAGATTTGAGCTACATAATAAGCACCTATGTCTGAGCTGAACCAGATGGGGGCACTGCATAGCCTTAACTGACTACAATAATGACATTATTTTGACGGTTTGAAACAAAATTGATGTTATTTATTGTAACACAATATTTTGGTATTTAATAAATAAAATCTGCTTTAGTCATTCTTTAAATAAGAATTAACTGAATTTGGAAATATTAACTTGAAATAAGAGCTATGTTGTTGGTAAAGATTGTTGAAGTTCCAAAATGTCAGTCCATACACTCCATATATGGAAAACAAGCCACACAAACAGCCTGTTTTAAAGGCACAGTAACACATTCCTTTTCATAATTCAGAGGATGAAGACAGGATGGAACAATTCAAGTAAAAATGACTCTTTCTGGTACAAAAGTGGATTCTAAGAAGGGAAATAAAATATGTTAAAAGTGCAGGCCTTTAAAAAAGAGAAGCATTTCCTTTCTGCTCCCAACAGCTTCCACAATACGGAGATGAGCGTCTCTCCTCAGCCGGTGTGGGGGAGAAAAATAATAATATTTCTAACTGGATTGCCTGAAGAAGTCATGAAATGACTCATTAAGGAGGCTGTGTAATTCGTCTTATGAGCAGAAGCGCAGTAACGATGAATATTATTCAGAGTGGAAATCCTAAGGGGGAGAAGTGTTGAAGGGCGAGCGCTGCTGAAAGAGGGAAGCGCAATGTTTCTGTAACAGTGTCGGGTCTGTTTAAAGTTCTGGGAGAGTTTAAGACTCATATGAAAGGAAGAATAAAGGAGGCTGATGTATTTTCCTGTGTCGGAGCCGCGAGCGCTCCACAGGCCTGCAGCTTAACGTTCTCTGTTTCAGCCCACACACTGAACACAGCACACACACCAAAACACACTGAACACAGCACACACACCAAAAACACTCTGAACACAGCACACACACCAGAAACACTGAACACAGCACATACACCAAAACACACGGAACACAGCACACACACCAAAACACACGGAACACAGCACACACACCAAAACAGAACAAAACAGAAGCCGGCCCTAACAAGCGGACATGCTGAGAGAGGCGGACACCACAAACAACCTCTCATTGTCTCTCTGTCTCTTCTCTAGACCATTTAAATGGCCTACTTCATGGAAAACTGAATTTTTCTAAATGTTTCAAAACTCTTCACTACTCTGTCTAACCAAACAGCTCGTTCTGAATTTACTGTTTTTGTGATGTCTCAAAAAACAATGCATTTACGTATTCAGCAGTTCAGCTCCACCCACTCAGCCTACAGCAGTTTGGCCCCGCCCATTAAGTCTACAGCAATTTAGCCCTGCCCACTGATACTGTTGCTCAGCTCCACCCATCCCATTCAGCCTACAGCAGTTTACCTCCACCCTATTCAGCCTAAAAATCAACAATCTGGGTTATTCCACTGCTGTGGCTGACATTAAATGCTGGTAAAATTGAACATCTTTACAAAATGTTCTGCTGTCGCTGCTGAAAAGATGTCTCATTAGGTTTACCATCGTCCACCTACTGTTATAATGTAAACAAGGTATGGGATAAGAGAGAGAGAGGTTGGAAAATGGTCAGGTAAAAATATATTAGGATTGTTTTTGTACATAAAACCACATAAACCTTATAGGTGGAGCATACAAGAAAAATACAGAATATGGGCCATTTAACTCTCAACCTAGAAAAAACAGAAGAAACAAAAGAGACAAAGAAAAACCTCAGGATGCAGAAGAACGTGTGTGGTCAGTGACCTTGCAGTAGTGGACCACAGCGTGTGAATGCTGACTGAGTGGCTGTGAATGGAAGCTTGATTTCAGTCAGTTTATCAAGATCTCCACAACATTTCCTCCATTTAAAGCCGCAATCACTCCGTCCGAGCACCGGAGTGCAGTCAAAGGCTCTGAGAGGAAAGACAAAACCGCTAATGAAGCTAGCGCGTAGCTGTTTGTTGTTGTTGCTGAGACAGTGGTGGTGAAGCGAGGAACCGCAGAGGAACCGAAATGCGGCAGCTGAAATCAAACTGGGCTAATTGCTCAGGGACGGAGAGAGCGTGTGGAGATGTTGGAGTGATTTTTCTCTGTTAGAGTGGTTTCCCGCTCCACATCTGCTCCAACTGCAGAGAGAGACCGCTCAACAGCGCTTCTGGAAAACTTAAACATCTCACAGAGCGTCCAGCTGCTCCATCCAGCAAAATGGGTCTCCTTCAAAATGACTAAAAACACTTCAGCACCTCCCTCTCACACAGCGAGGATAAAGGAGGCTCTCAGCCTCGTCAAACTGCACGAGATACAGAACGAAAAGCTAAATCCACAGATTTTATCATAACTCGAAATGTTTCTACAGGGGAATTTCTAAACAGGAATTTCACCAAATTTTCAAATTTTTCAATTTTTATGCATAGTTCAGTGGTTTGGTGTGAAATGGTTCAGATTTCTTTACAGTGGTGGTGATAGGAACCAGGGGTGACCATGACTACAACACAAATATAGATATTTTATTTACTATCCAAAATCATCAGTGAACCTACACGTGTCTTCTGAGTTTTACATGGAATGTTAATGATGGGAAAATAGTGGAAAATCTGAAATAATTTTTTTTTTGGGGACTATTTTGCCTCAGCATGTCTCCCTCCACCATGAATAATTTTTAAGCTCTCAAAACAATGTCTCAGACATCAGGCAGTGAATTCATAACCATTTTATGTAATAACTTTCTGTGAGGGAGCTTTTAGAGGTGGATGTCTGGTTCCTATCACCACTTCTGACTCAGTTTCTCTAGAGCAGAGCATTTCACACCAAACCACTCTGAATGACTCTGTTTATATCTTAACCATTTTATTATGTAGACATTTTGAAGGTTAGGTGGACTTTTCCTTTAAAGGCCCTTACTTATGTTAGTCATATTAGTTTGCATATAATGCTTCATTAATAGATAAAAAAGTTCAATATATGCTAATGTAAACATATGACACTGTGCAAATCTTTAAACAACAATAAATGAAATACATAATAATTCACAAGAAAGTAAAGCTGACAGAAATACAAATGCATTAAGTGTGCGTATAGACGGTGCGCGCAGCATCTCTGCTTTCCTGAATTTTGAAAGCAGAAAGGATAAAAGACACAAACAGGGGAAAAAATCATATTCTCAGACCCCTCGTGGTCCCTAAGCGAGAGAAATTGTTCTGCTTTCACTTTTTGACAGCTTTTTCATGTCGTTAAACAGAAAACTCTAAAAGCTGCAGTGAGGATAAAGTTCAGTTCAACTGTGCACGATTTAATTCCATCACATCAATAAACTCAGTGCAGGAGAGAGCAGCATTACCCAGCATGCAGTATTCCACTCCATTAGCTAATTAAACACTCATCCAGAGATTGAAGCTAACGCTGAGGCTGATACTGAGAGGTGATCGAACGCCAGACGCTGCTCGTCAAATGTTTGGAAAACTTTGTCTTATTTTTCCCACCAATGTTTCATTCTCAGTGTTACTTTTCAGCTAAAGAGCCCATATTATTACATTCTCTACATTCTTAGTCTCTTTTATTTTTCCTAAGCTTCACTAATAATGTTTGTGTGGTTTTATAAGCCAGTCAAAATTCATTTCTACATGATCATTTAACAACCTCTTACAGTTAAACAGGCTGTTTTTGTAACTGTGCCTGTAAGACTGACATATGTAAATGAGTTGACTGAATGGGCGGTGCAAAAGAGCTGTAGGCTGAATGGGCGGCGCTAAAGTGCTGTGGGCTGAATGGGTAGGGCTAAATTGCAGTAGGCTGAATGGGCGGTGCAAAAGAGCTGTAGGCTGAATGGGCAGAGCTAAACTGCTGTAGGCTGAATGGGTGGGGCTAAACTGCTGTAGGCTGAATGGGTGGAGTTAAACTGCTGTAGGCTGAATGGGTGGGGCTAAACTGCTGTAGGCTGAATGGGTGGAGTTAAACTGCTGTAGGCTGAATGGGTGGGGCTAAACTGCTGTAGCCTAAATGAGCAGGGCTAAGCTGCTGTAGGCTTAATGGCTGGGGCTAAACTGCTGTAGGCTGAATGGGTGGAGTTAAACTGCTGTAGGCTGAATGGGCGGGGCTAAACAGCTGTAGGCTGAGTGGGTGGATATATGTAAATATGCTGGTTTTTGTGAGATCACAAAAACAAACAAAAACAGGCTATTTTTGCAGCGTAGTTTCTTTATATGGACTGTATGGACTAGAGAGTGATTGTTATTGTTGTATATATTGTGATGGACAGGCGGACACTGAAGACTGACCATGCGTGGGATTTCCTCTTGGGGACACTCTGTCTGGCCCATTTGGAGTGGGGGGTCAGGTGGTACACCAGCTGTCGGCAGATTTTATCTGAAGATTTCAGAGCGTTCGCCTCCTGCAGGAGAAAATATTAGACTGTTCAGTTATTCGGTTCCTGTTCCTGCAGGAACGTCTGTGCAGAGTTAAAGAATATAACAGCTGTTTAACAGCCTCGTCTCTCTCTGCTGTACCGTACAGTCCGTCATCACAGACAATAACGTCAACACGTTTCACTGAACCTAGAAAAGAACAGAATCCCACCGTCTGTGAACCCACTTATAACAGAAGCCAGTGGGCAGATGCAGAGATTAGGCTGAAAAGCACAGCAGGATTACTTTAATCTCTGCACTCAATTTCCACAATTTACAAAACAGCAGTTAGAATACAGTACAGATCAAATAAACAGTCCAATAGTAGACATACATGTACTTTATTACTGTGCTGAAACAACCGTACTCACAGTATATATTATGATCTTTCATGGTATATTATTTATAATACTTTCTATTCTTTTATTTATTAGTACTGTTTATTAGTTTAGCTTTACCTGTTCTTAATGTTAAGTTATTTTATTTTTGCAGTTTTATTAGTTTATTCTTATTTGTTGCATTTTTTACTATTAAATTGACAGCGCATCTTAGGTATTTACGTTCTTACATTTTAAGCTTATTTATTTATTTATTACTATTATGTTTTCACAATCTATTTTTTTCAATCCCCTAAATACTGAATGTCCAATCAGAGCTCAGTAACTGTATCTAGGCCCGGGCGGCTCTGATAAGCTTTCAGAAGTGAAGGCACAAAAGCAGAAATGAGGGATTTTAAGTAATTTTGTACTTTAACTCAAGTAAAAGTATAAATAGAGGACTAACTTTAACAGAGCTGATACATATCACATGTATGTATTCTGAATGATGCAATTTATAATCGATGGTGCAGCAGGGACGTTAGTGGTGTCATGAGATATCTTGCTGTGGGGAATGCTAGCATGTTTACGGTCAGGGGAGGAGGAATGTCAGTAGGAGCGCTGGCGACGCATGCTGTTGGAGACGAGAGAGAGACGCGCACTAGCGTGTGTGCCCGATCGAGTGTGTCTGAGTCTGAGCGGCTCTTTAACCAGATTCACCCAAAACTAGCGCCGCTAATCTAATCAGTGCGGCAGCACAAAAACACCAGCAGAGCGAAACATCACACATCAAACAGGCCGGAGCTGAACCATCAGCGGGGAGAACCAACAAGAACCTGTTACGCAGATCATTATCAACATCATACAACCGGCGCTACAGAACCGACACTACAGAACCAGCGCTACAAAACCGACACTACAGAGCCAGCACTACAGAACCAACACTATAGAACCAGCGCTAGAGAACTAACACTATAGAACCAGCACTAGAGAACTGAAACTACAGAACCAGCACTAGAGAACTGAACTACAGAACTAACACTAAAGAACTTACATTGTGGAACCAGAGCTACAGAACCAACACTATAGATCCAGTGCTAGAGAACTGACACTAGAGAAGCAACACTACAGAACCAGCACTACAGAACCAACAGTACCAAAAAGACACTATAGAACCAGCATTACCAAACCTATGCAATAGAACCAGAAATACTGAATCGACAGTATAGAATCAGTGCTACTGTACCAACACTGTACAACCAGAGCTAGAGTACCAACTTTATAGAACCAGCGCTACCGAACTGACACTATAGAACCATTGCTAGAGAACTGACACTACAGAACAGCGCTACAGAACCGGCGCTATAGAACCAATAATAATAACCAACAGAACAGAACCAGCACTACCGAACCATTACTATGGAACCAGAGCTAGAGTACCAGAAAATATAGAGCCAGTACTACCAAACTGACACTACTGAACCAGAGCTAGATTATCAGCAATATAGAACCAGCGCTACCAAACCAACACTATAGAACCAGCGCTAGAGAATTGAAACTACAGAACCGATGCTATAGAACCAATAATACCAAACCGACAGAACAGAACCAGCACTACCAAACCATCACTATAGAACCAGTACTACTGAACCAACACTATAGAACCAGAGCTAGAGCACCAGAAAATATAGAACCAGCACTACCAAACTGACCCAGAGCTAGACAACCAACATTATAGAACACATGCTACAGAACCAACACTATAATACTATTGCTACCAAACCAACACTACAGAAATAGAGCTAGAGTACCAACACTATAGAACCAGCAGTACAAAACTGACATTACAGCACCAGCGCTACAGAACCAACACAATAGATCCAGCTCTACTAAACAAATACTATAGAACCGGTGCTACAGAACCAACATTATAGAACCAGTGCTAGAAAACTAATAGTACAGAACCAGCCCTACAAAATTAGCACTACAGAACCAGCAGCACAGAACCAGCACTATAAAACAAGTACTACAGAACCAGCAGCACAGCACATCACTAAAGATCTGGCATTAAAGAACCAGATATCATAAAATCAGCACTACAGATTAAAGAATAAAACACAGAGGGAACGTGGGATGTGGGTTCTTTCGACCGGCGAGGCTGCAGTTTCCTCCTCTCTCATCTGAATGTTTTGTTCCACCTTTAAATGCCTGAAGTGCCAGAATGTGATAAGAAGCTGATTTCATCATTAACCAAGATGTTGACGTAGTTAAAATTCTTCATGTCTGTATTCTATATTTAACTGTATGTCCCCGAAGCCCCCACCCCTGCCTCTGCCTCCGTGTAGAAGACCCCCTGGCAGGTGGTCTCCAGGTGATCTGAGTGTGAGTGTGGGGGTGTGTCGGTCTGACAGCTCTGCCAACAGAAACAGCATATAAAAGACTCTCTGACATGCCGGACCCTCGTGTGTCCCCCTGCTGCCTCTGCGGTTACATCTGCCCTTTAAATCTAAATTTACTCTTGCGTGTAGTGGCGCGAGCGAGGTGTCGCTCCTGGCCGGGACCGCTTACCCTCTTTGGACACTGCATGTCTCGCGCCAGACTCAGCAGCAGCTCGTGGGAAATCGGATCCACCAGGTTGAGGAAGGCGGCGTTTTTATAGAGGATATCATTCAGAGAAGAACCTTCCAGACCCAGATCCTACAGAGAGAGAGAGAGGGAGAGAGAGACAGAGAGAGACAGAGAGAGAGAGAGAGAGAGAGAGAACAGAGACAAAGAGGGAGTGATTAATTACATTGATTTATTACAGAAACTACTTCATCTCACTTCACTTTTAGTTCCCTGACACAAAACATATTTATAACAGAAAGCAATGAGCAGATAGGGAGAGAGAGAAACAGTTTTTTAAAAAAAAAGAGAGGGAGAGAGAAAAGAGAAAGAGAAAAGAACTGAGAGAGATAGTTTAAAAATGGAAAAAAGGGAGAGAGAAAAACAAGGCAGAGAAAAAGATGAAGACAGATAGAAGCAGTGAGAGAAAAGAGAGAGACAGAGAGAGAAAGAAGGCAATAAACAGTGAGAGAGAAGTGAGAACCTTTCACTGTCTATAAGTTACATATACTATCTGTGAATTTGAGAGCAGGCAAAAGAGAGTAAGAGAGAAAGGGAGACAGAGAGAAAGGAAAAGCGAGAGGGAGTGAAAGAAAAGGAGAGAAAAAAGAAACATAGAGAGAGAGAGAATTGGATATCCGTGATTAAAGGTGTGGTCAGGTGTAAAGGTCACTGTAGACTCTCAGGATTTGTTTCTCTGAACTTGTTTGTTGTTCTAAGTTTTTTACTTCTCTGATCAACATCTACTGAGAGGGAGAGAGATAAAGTGAGAGAGAGAGAGTGAGAGAGATTAGTGAGAGCGGGGATGAGAGAACGAGAGGAATCCGTGTATCTGCCGCTGCACTGATCACAGCTGACAGTAAACAGACTCTCTCTCATCCATCTCTCTACACATGATACTATTTCTGGAAGCAGGAGCAGAATGTTAGAGCCGGTTTACAGCTCTGAGCACCCGCATTCCTCAGCCTCAGACAGTTCTGCTGGGCTTACTGTCCCGACTCAGGTCCACTCACAGAGACTGCATGGCTCTATGAACCTAATTAGTCAGATATGGAGGGCTGTTTAGGGTCAAATACAGGCACACACACACACACACACATACACTACTCACACACACACACACACACACACACACACACACAGTCACTCACAGCTTGTACACACTACTTGTACACACACACGACTTGCAACCACAACTTGTACATACACACACACTCTTGTACACACAAACACTACTTGTACACACACACACACACACACAGACAGACACACTACTTGTGCACAAACAAATTACTTGTACACACACACACACGTGTTTTATTGCTGTGTGTGAGTCGTGTGTGTGTATACAAGTAGTGTGTGTGTGTACAAGTAATTCAGTGAGTGAGATTGGGGGGGTGTTCCTTCTTTTACTCCTAGTGAGATTCTGGTAGCAGCATTCTGAATCAGCTGAAGCTGTTTGATTGTCTGTTCTGGGAGTCCAGTTAGGAGACCATTACAGTGATCAATCCTGATCAAACCTGAAATAAAGGCGTGGATGAGTTTCTCCAGGTCTGCTTTAGTCATCTGCAAGCTAAACTGAGATGTTTTGACGTTTTGACTCCTGCCTTTCATTCAGATGAAATAATACATTAACTTCGTTTTTCCTGTTTTATTGTGTTTTTAATGTAAGTATATTATACAGACTCAGCTCAATGTCATTACTTACTCTCTGGTACAGGGATTTAGGCTACAGCCGCCACTAACAATCAATTTTTTTTCCAAGTATTTTATTTGTCAAATATCTGATCAGAAAAATACTAGACCTTAAATTCAAAAGGGTGTGACACACAAATTTATTTAATTACTGTATGTCATACAAAGTATTTTACTTCAAAGTTAAAGCGGTTATGATTTAAAATGAATTTATTTCATCACTGAAGTAATATGCCACAACTCCAAGCACTGTTCACCTCTTCAGCGTGTCACTTAGCATTTTTTACTACATTAAATTAAAGCACGTGACTTAAAATTCCCTTCTGAAAAAACAGCACAGATCAGCGAGCACATCTGGAGTTATGAGGCTGTGAAGAGGGGGAGATACATGTCATCTGCCTCGCACCGTGTGAAACTGGTGGATTTGTGTGTCTGTCTACATTCTGTTTGAAACTGACCAATGGACACTCAGGAAATCACTAAGGACTGACCTATCATGCCGGAAACCCTTCATTCTTCATTCAGTTCACATCGGAGACACATGTAAATGGTGTGCAGAGAGGTTTACAGCTGCTGAAGTTGCTGCAGAAGTTTTGGAAAGTAGTGATGAAGATAACGGAGCATTTTGATATGAAACATATGGGTATCATGTTATATGAAGAGCATTTAAAGGAGAGTTTAAGAAGATATGCACAAATTGAGAGAGAATGACCTCAGACCACATAGGGTTAATAAACAACATAGGATGACAGAAAGAAGCTGGTATGTGTTTAATGAGAGGTGATAAAACTGCACATGAGGTTGTTGTTGTAGAATAAATAAATAATTAACTGTAGCAGTGATAAGAGTGTGGTAAAGTCCACAGTGAAGGTCCTGGAGGAAGTGTGCGTAGAAAGGTGATGATCAGGTTAATCTGAATTTACTGATAGCACATGGAGAAAAGGCTATTATGACGATGTGCTATCTCCTAACAAGAACGTCTGGGGAAAACAATGAGAAATGTTGGGCTAAATGTGGAAAACGTACACTTATAAGGGTGGGAGCAAACTGAGAGTGAAATTTCTAAACCAGTCCAACACCTCGTGAAGGCAGATAGGGGGGTGCCGGTGTGCTCATTAACATTGTCTGATGGACAACAAGCCTGTCGCTAGCACATGGATGTGATGTAATTTGGCACAGTTGAAAAGTTGCCTGTAGATCACATTACATACAGTAAACATAAACAGCTCTGTAAGCTACAATAGCTTTTCAATTGCTACCTTGTTCTACTTGTGTTAGTGATTGTACTCTCAACATTAAAGAGTCAGACTAGACGAGTTTGGGGGTGGGGTTTAGAGGGGGCTTGTTAGTAGATGCAATTCGACCACCAAAAGTCTACTTACATTTACATGCTGCTGCTTGTTTACAGACTTCTACTGTAAATAAGATGTGATCATGTAAACAGCACCAAATAAGCTCAGTCTAAACATGAGGTCCATGCAGAGCTCAGAAGACACATCAGTAATGTCAAACATCTTTGAAGCTGATATTTTAATCTGAGGGAAACTCATAAATGTGTCATCAATCAATCAGGCCTGAATCATCAAGTTATCGACCCCTGGGCACAAATGTTTCGTGTCTACCTTTTTGGGAGGTCAGGGAATGTTTTACGATATCACAGCAGGTTACATGCTGCAGCACCATGATGGCAGTGCACTAACCGCAGTGTTGGGCACATCACAGCTACATAATTAGCGCTTTTTTCCCAACTGTCCAGGTGGGTAAAATGCTCAGTGCTCATGAGGGTGCCAGAGGACAAATTAGAGAGTGATCTTAATGTTAGCAAACCATTTTTTGCATGAGACTCAACTTCTCATCTGCTGTGCTAGTTGAGAAAGCATGCCGGCGGTTGGCTTGGCTGTTACTGTAGTGCCCCCTGTTGCAACACTCAAAATGCAGCTTACACTGTTATGAACTGCGTTGTGATGCAACAACGCACAAAACTGTGTAGTTGGAAGCATGTGCGTTCGCGTTTCTGGCCTAATAATTTTGCTGTGTACATGTAAACACGATAACTATTTCAGTTCAAAACCAGAGCGAGAAACAAAGCTGTTCCATCCAAAAATCCAGGAGAGCATCTGTCAGATGAAAAGCTGATCTGCTCCTGGTTGCTGTGGTTTATCTGCATGTCCTGCTCTCTCTGAGCTCCTCATTTGGATTTGGAGAGATTTCCAAGTGAGTGGGCTTCAGCCTGCATCAAACTCCACACAGGGTCCATCCCAAATTCAGCTGCACTCGTCCATACACAGAACTGTCCATATACATAACTGTATATGAACAGTTATACAGTTCATATACATAACTGTCCATACACATAACTGTCAATATCCTCCATCATTCCAAACTTCCGGTACACTGGACATTTTTCCCAGGTATTTTAGCTCTATAGAAGCAGGTACATCATCACACTCACTTTAACATGTTTCTATCAAACTTTCAATTTGCATTGGTTGATCATTTAATGTGTTTGCTTTTTTATTTTGTTGTTTTTTTATTTTGTAAACAGCTGGTGAGAGCTCAGTAACGCTGAGATTAATAACTGATCATCACATTGATTTATCAGTCTACTCAGGCTTTAGCAGAGCTCAGTAACACTGAGATTAATAACTGATCATCACATTGGTTTATCAGTCTACTCAGGCTTTAGCAGAGCTCAGTAACGCTGAGATTAATAACTGATCATCACATTGATTTATCAGTCTACTCAGGCTTTAGCAGAGCTCAGTAACGCTGAGATTAATAACTGATCACATAACTAAAAACAACTACTTCAGCTACTTAATTTTTTACTACATTAAATTAAAACACATGTGGCTTAAAATTCCCTTCTGAAAAAAAAAAAACAGCACAGATCAGCGAGCACATCTGGAATTATGATGCTATGAAGAGGTAGAGATACACATCATCTGCCTTGCACCGTGTGTAACTGGTGGATTTGTGTGTCCGTCTACATTCTGTGTGAAACTGACCAATGGACACTCAGGAAATCACTAAAGACTGACCCATCACGCTGGAAACCCTTCATTCTTCATTCAGTCCACATCTGAGACACATGTGAAATGGCGTGCAGTTTACAGCTGCTGAAGTTGCTGCAGCGGTTTTGGAAAGTAGTGATGAAGATAACGGAGCATTCTGACATGAAACATATGAGAATCATGTTATATGAAGAGCCGTTAAAGGAGAGTTTAAGAAGATATGAACAAATTGAGAGAATGACCTCAGACCACATAGTAACATAATAAACAACATAGGATAACAGAAAGAAGTATAGGTTTAATGAGAGGTGATAAAACTGCATGTGATGTTGTTGTTGTAGAATAAATAAATAATTAACTGTAGCAGTGATAAGAGCGTGGTCC